AAAAAAGAAAAAAAAAAAAAAAAAAAAAAAAAAAAAGGAAAACAAAATCAAAACAAAAGCAATAGAAAGGGAAAAAATAAGCAAATATAACAAAAAAAAATATACAAAGAAAAATTTGAAAAATCTTAAATATAAAATATCTATATGAGAAATATTTTTCCTTAACTCATAAAAAACTAGCATGACATCCAAGTTCATTCACGAAAGGACTGCTGTAAACATTTCTCTGAAAGCCTGACAACCAAAATGTTTGTAGGCCTACAAGATTCCCAATGTCATGAGGATTATTTCCGGATATGGAATTCTTTTCAAGGTCTAAGTAAATGAGGTTCATTGAAAATTTGACAATGGAGGCAGGCAAGTCACCCCAAGCCTATTGAATTCCACATATATTATTTGCAGATGGGTGCAGTTAGTCAAAGCAACAAGAAATTCAAGATCTTCAGCTGAAAACTTACAAATAATTGTTATTAAGGTGTAGTTTTTGCAAATATTGTAGTCTTACAAAGCTCGGATGAATACTTCATGTGAGACTGTTAAACTCCATGCCCAAATATTGAAGAGTTGAAATATTTGAAAGTGTTGATAGAATGGCTCATGTTACAAAATTACTTCCGATAACCCTTCGTTCAAGGCTTGGTAGAAAGTTATAAAAATTTGGTGTCAGGTTCCCAGAGAAATAATTACTAGACAAGTTCAAAGACCGAAGGGAGGATAAATTGTAAATTGCAGGACGAAAAACCCCAGAAAATTTGTTATATGATACCAAGAATATATCTATTTGAGTCAATCTAGCTATATCATCAAGAATTTCTCCTTTCATAATGTTTTCAGCAAAGGAAAGTCGTCTAGTGTCAAGTTTCCTAGAGATACAGAGAATTTTCCTTTCAAACTGTTTTTACCAAGGTCTAAAATAACAAGCTTTCTCGATGATCCTAGTTCTGAAAGAATATCTTGTCCAAGATGATTTGAAATTAAAGAAAGGCCCACCAATCTTAAACAGTTGAACAGACTGGCGGGAATCCCCCCCCCCCCGCCCTCCCAGAAAATTTGAGCTCATATCCAAGAATTGAATTCTAAACAAGTTTCCCAGCTCTCGGGGGATGGTTCCACCAAAAGAGCTACCAGTGACATCAACTGATGAGTGAAATGAAACATTACCAATATATGGCGATATCACTCCACCCAATTAGAATCCTCTGAGGTGCAAACCAGTAACTCTCTTGTGTTTGTGGCCATAGGTAACCCATATCCATCTGCAGAGAGGGGACGAGTTGCTCCATAAAGACAGCAAAACCTTTTATCGTTGAAAACTTGGGACTTGAACTTCAGGAATGCTGTTGGTAGAAGTATATAAAGTTCGTAAAAAAATTTCGGTGTTTACCAACCATATACTGTTCGATTATTCCAAAGAAACTCGATGATCAACTTAACTCATTAAAAGGAATTTTAATGAGCTAAGGATACTATTATTATCAAGTTTATGTAAGGATTTATGTTTTCATAATACACATAAGATAAGGAGTAGCTTAGACCTATATAAAGAGTTCTAATGGAGAGTTGTTACATAAGAGAAACACATTGACTTATTTAGTTTTGAGTGAGTTTCTAAATCTAATAAGAAAATAGTTCTTATATTCTTTGTGTTTACGAATATACTTCTAGTGAACCAGAAGCAGAAGCAGAAGCAGAACAACCCGATTCTCTTAAGTCTAAGAAACATCTCAAACTCCTCTAATTTTCTTATTCCAAGACCTCTTTCTGCCTCGAACTTCTGTTTTCAAATACAATTTTTTCTATCTACGGATATTTGTATTTCATATATGTATTCTACAATATTACGCTCTGATGTGTTTTAAGAATGTTCTTATCATGAAAAACTCAGAATATGCAAAACTAATCCATAATTTTATGTTAAGTTTTACAAAAAAAAAAAAACATTGACTGAAGCTATCTGCTTGATTTGATCACTCAGTCAAATATCTTTCCATAAATATACATATCATTATCAACTAGTATTTGGTATTCATCATAAATTTCAAAAAACAAAAGGGAGCTATGAAAACTGAAAAGGTGGTGGTGAAATACAAAGAAAAAGGAGGAAAACATGTAACAAGTAGAGAATGCATTTTTTTAATCTAAAAAGAAGCAGAGACTGCATCGGTCGGACCAGTGAACTGAACTATATGGAACTGTCTCGTTATAACAAAACAGAGTTTCATTTTTTTGAAACCTCATAAACCAAGGATATATTAATTTAACTGCAACAATCAGAAACATTAGCAAACCTTAAATATAAAAGTATATACTTGAAATAGTGTTCTTTAATTCATAGAAGAAGTAGAACATTCAGCGAAAAGCAGAATCGGAAATGTCATCAAATAAAATTGAATGGTTGTAAGGTGATATATAACAAGTCTGATTCAAAAGTTCATCTTGTTGGTTTTATATGCTCAACGGGAGGATGTAGTAACCAGGCCTGGTAGTAACTAGCATGACATATTAGTTTATTCACGAAAGAATCACTGTAAACATTTTCCTTAAAACCCAACAAAAACAAAGAGAAGGAAAAGCAGAGAAAATTTCACGACTAGCACTTTTGTTTTATTTCTTAAAGTTGTTATGTTCTTTGTAAGAATTTTGAGTTCCTAATACAATTAAAGAATCATGATCATCTCTATTTTTATAGAATGAATACCTTAATTTTATTTATATTTATTGATTAATAAAGATAAATATGAGAGGATCGGATATGGGTCAAGCCAGATAAAACATTAGTTTTAATCTCTAAAAATTTTGAAAATCTTTTATATATATATAAGCTTTCAAATTTTGAAAAAAAAATAATTATAAAATCTTTGAAGAAATATTTTAAACCTCTAAATTCATAGAATTTGGAATTGAACCTCTAACCTCTAAATTAAACCTCTAAACCACATATGTCATTTCTCAACGAGTTGCTTTCGACATTATGATATCTGATAATTCATAGAATTTGGAATTACTACATGTCCTACGAAATAGTTACAAAGAGAACAAACTCTCTTTGATGCTCTAATATTTTTTTTTGTCGTTTTTGCAAAACAAATACAGAGAATATGTATCCAGTATCCTTATTGTAAAGATATGGTGGGTGCTCTTGCTTAGTGTCAGTCTAAACTAATATATGTATTACAATACTACATATATAAATGTGCTTATATGGCTAATGACCATCTCACTAAATAGTGTATGCACTTCATCATGCTCGTAAGATGGTTCTTTGAAAACACGAGGATAAGGAAGTTGGTTCTGTGTTGAGTATTATTAGCATTCGGATTATCACATATCCAATAATCTACCCATAGTTATATCATATTATTTATCATATCGCCTAACCATGTAAGTAATCACAATTACTGTTTACTCCAAGTCTCCAACACATGTTTAAAATGGATACTAAACCGAAAATTCAAAAACCCGATTTTCTCAACCACTGAACCATAGTATAAGAGTTTCGGATGGAAAGAAACGAAGCTTTGTTACCAAAAGACAGCTTATGATTACAAAGTATACGGTAACTGAAATTATATATTATACAATACAAATCAATCTCCTTATGTTCTCATCACCTTCAAAAGTTCATCGAATCAATAAAAATCGTGTGTAAAGAGTCACTGGAAATCAAGTTATGATCTAACTTTAGCGAGCCTAGCTCGAATCTCCTCCAGTTCTTCCTCATCATCAACACCTTCTGCAATTGCTTCTTCCTACAAAAAAAAACGCAACATCTTTCAATAAAACATAATATCTCCAATCAAGTAAATGCATTTTGCTGGATAAGCTTTAATTACCTCGTGGGAAGTGCTTGCCTTCTGTGCAGGTACCTTTATCCTTTCCTTCCTGACAGCTTCTGGAAGCTCAGCAGCGGTTTCTCCAGCAATAGCAGTCAATACTTTATCAACCTCTTCGTCTATCTCTTCTTCCATATCCTCTGAATCTAGTGCATTGTCAATAGCTTCATTCACAAACTCCTCAATGACTCCAGCCTGCACATCAAAGCAATTAAAAAAAATAATTCATTAATTGATTATATAAGATGAGAGAAAGGGGAAAAGAAATAAAAGTTACCTTAGTCATCTCTTTGCTGAACTCTTGCATAGTTGCAGCCATTTGTGGAGCCTTCATGAGATTATTCACAAGCTTCATAACCTCTGCGCTCTTGGACAGATGCCCAACTGTTCTAGCAACAGCTGAAAGGTCCAACAGAAATAGTGTAAGAAAAAGGGGAAAAAAATAGTATGACAAAAACTCAAGAGATGACGCTAATTAAAAGCTATTATACCAACACTCTCCCCAAGGTGCATTGATATGGAATTCATCTGAGCCTTGTTTTCATATAACCGATTCACTGTTCTTCTCGCACTCACAATCTCCTTAGCAAGCGCCTTGAATAAACACCACAGAATTAGAATCAGCCAAAGATTACAAACAAAAAAAACTTTAAAAACTTTTTTGGAGTCTCTACCTTTGCTGAGACCATATCATTCCTCTTAGCAGCTTCTTTAATAGCTTTCTGCACAGTTCTCTCTTCTTTCTGTATATCTGAATAAAACGAAAGAATCTCAAAATCATAAATTTCTAAAATTCATCATAAATTTTAACCTAAACTTACACAAGTCAGAGGATTCAAATCGAAATCAAAATCAAAATCAGATTATAATGACACTAATGATTCGTGATCATGGACCGATCCAAAAACCGATTCAGATTGATTTTTCGCAGTTTCGTGTGCGATCGAACAAACCCAACAATCTAATTTCAGAACTTTCCCTGAATTTAAAAACCCTAAATTTAACATAGAGGAAGAAGAAGAGAGAACCTCTGATTTGGCGTTCGATGTTACGGCACTCTTGACGAAGCTTACGTTGCCAGTCACGTAAGATTTGCTTCGGATCAGGTTTCGGCTTTATCAAGTTCATCACTTTCTCCATTCTCTCACCTTCGCTTTCTCTGTTTTTTACTTTTTAGTTTTTACAAGAATGATCTGTTTGCTCCCAATGTTATGTCCGAAGAACCAGAAGTATTTAAAACAAAAGTAATTAAATACTCCCAATTTATTTAGTAGTCTTAACCTTGGTATAAGGGGAATGTCAAACTATTATTAAACTTGGGCCTGTGGAGTATGGCTGTGGTCGGCCCAACATAATATAGAGCCTAAGATAAATCAAACATAACTTGGGCCTTTTAGCAAAAACTTTGGAGGCCCATTTATATGAATTTTGTTTATAGGTCTAAGATTTAGACCCCTACACCCATGGCTCGGCTCTCTCACCAATCCTTAGAGAAAGAGAACGGTACTTGGACCAGTGACCCTACCCATTGTAAAGGAGATATGTTCTAAACAAAATTATGTACATAATAATCACTTTTTTTTTTGCAATAAACAACACAACATTGTGTATATAGTAATGGTATCAGTTTTGGACACAGCCTCTCTAGTTGTAAGCATTTCAGCTCCATAATATTCTAAAGGGATCAAATTAACTGTTTTAGTGATAACAACTAGACGTGAGGTGGGACTACAAACAAACTGTGTATATATTATTAGTTCAACTCATTATATTTATTGGGTATAATGCATTTTCTGACACACTAGCTGTCTCTTACTCACATTTCTCTGTCTTTCATCTTCCCCCATGCAACTCCACCCTTTTGTTATAAGTATCTTTTATTCACTACTTTTTACAGGTATGTATGTATATACCACATGTTTAGTTGCAAACAAAGCTTTTACAGAAAGAATATCAAAAGCTAACCAAACTATTAAAAATAGTTGCAATTCTTGTCAATCAGATAGAGTTGTTTACTATGATTGGACTTTAGAGTAAAGTTGAGATTGATTTAACCCTGCATGCATTTCTATCTATAAGTTATATTCAAAGAATCATATGCCTACTCATACAAAAGAATAACACATCAGCATACTTTACACTTTCACATCCCTGATCCACGTGTTAAACCACTCAGTGATAGCCAGCTAAGCAGACAACTCACGTTCTGAGTTAAACCTCTCACATTATGGACCCCACACTTAGATATTCCAGTTTCCAATAGTCCAAACAAATCCAGCCTAGCATCCATTTGGAGACAGCATCTTACGTGTCAACTCTTTATTGGCTCAAAACCCTTGACCTTCTGTAAGATCGATCTAGCTTCCTCGACAACGCATCGAGAATATGCCACGTAGCATCTCCTTCCATCATCGGGACATTGTACAAGAGGGCCCGCTTAAACGCCGGCTCACGTAAGTTTCGCTGTATCATTGACAAATTAGTCGCCGTCACGTGTTCCAAAATCTTCCTTAAATTCTTGACGTCTTTCTCCGCCACCGTGAGAGATATCTCCGGCCACCGTACAGTCTCCGAGAAAGGTAACTTAATCCCATCGGCTATAACCACGGGGACACAACCTAATACAGCTGATTCCACTAGCCTTGGACTCCATGGAGCCCACCCGAGAGGACACAGACAAAACACAGACCGCAAGATCTCAGACCGGTATCCAGCAAACCGGTGCCGGTTAAGATGAAACCGTCTTCTTCCGCCGTATTTCTTCAAAATCGCCGTTCTCACTCCCCTGCACGTTACGAAATTGGCAATTTTAGTAATTAACGATAAAACCAACACAGAAAAATTCAAAGTCAACGAGGAAACAAACAAACAAAAAGTTCACGCACTTGCTGTAATAACGTCCGTTTATATTTTTAGGGTTGACTTCCATCTTTCCCCGGAAAAACGCCCATATGTCTCGGCGTCCCTTCGCCGGAGCTCTGTCTATTGCTATCTGTACACTCTCCGGCGGAACATACGGTGGGATCACCACGTGCTCTGCTTCTTGACATGGATGCTTGTAGTTTACTCCAAACGTTTGCAAAATTATCGACTTCTTCATAAATTCGGGAATGCCTTGTTCAATCGCCATATCCTCCTTCACAAAAATAAAATCAAAAATCAATTTTCTCTTCTTTTTTTTGTCAACATCAATTTTCTCTAAAAATATTGATAAAAATCAAAACTTTTCAAAATTAGTTTCTCCTCTAAATACTAAAGCTTTTCAAAAATCAAAATTTCTCTAACAATCTGAATAAAAATCAAAACTTTTCAAAAAAAAAAACATTTTTCTCTAAAAATCTGTATAAAAATCAAAACTTTCAAAAAAAAAAAAAATTTAAATTTTGCGAAATTAATGAACTTGAGGATCTTACCATCGCATGAAAACAAGCACCGAAGTCATGAGAAGCGACGAACACGTGGTCGGAGCCTCGTGTTCTGTTCCAAAACGAGTACCTGCCCGAGACGAAATCAACGGCTGAGCTGATGAGGGAGCGAGCGTGGCTCAGAGAAGGGAAGCCGTTGGAGGTTGAGAAGTTGCAAGAGACGTATACAGGGACAAAGAAAAAGTCAGCTTCTTCTGGTTCTAACGTACGAACAGAGAAGTCGGAGAGAAGGGCACGGTGAATCGCCACCTCCGCCGCGAAGAGGTGACTAGCGCACCGGTCTGAAGCCGTGACCCAGTCGGAGTTGTATCTCGCGGGTAAGTCGTATACGTAAATCTTCATTCCGTTGAATATAGACGTGTGAGATGGTTTGAGAATGGCGGACGATTCGATGAGGGCGTGAGATGGGAGAGACGACGACGTTTTGAGGTTAGAGATGAGACTAGTTGTTGTTGTGGATGGAGAGGGTTGGTCTCCGGTGAAGTAAGATGTGAAGAGATAGAGGGAGAGGAAAAACCAGAGGATCCATCTGTAATAATGTCTGAAGAAGACAATGAACATGTTTCTTTTGTTGTTTCCTTCTCTGTTGTTGTGATTAAGCTGCATTTGGAAGATGAACCCTGTCTTCTTCTTCTTCGTCTTGTTGCTGATAGGTCTCTTAATGTCAAGCGACATTGCTTTCTCTCTTTGTCCTTCTGGTGATGGTAATGATTGAGAAGTAGAGATTAGACAGAGATTAGGAGAAAGAAAGAGACTTTCTCAAGAAAGAACCGTCATAGTAGTTTTTTTTTTATTACATTTGGATCAAGATTGGTGATCTGGTTCTCATCATTCTCTCCTGTCATGGGTTTGGTTCGAATCTAGTGGAATCAAATGAGATAACATTAAGAAATAAACTGAACTTTTTCAATGATAAAAATAAAAAAAATTAACTTATCAGAATATAGAGAAAGAGAGAGAAGGTCACATGAGGATGCAATGGAGCAGAATGGAGCTAGGCAATGGTCTCGGGTTCATCGCTTGGTTAAGTCTTCTAAACCATACCACAGGTAGTGTGAAATTACTATAATACCATTGAGGCTCCCGTAATGATTTCTTTACGTATTTGGTAAGTTGGGGGAGCTTTTGATTCCGTGAGGCGTGAAGGACATGTCACATGTGGTTGGTTCATAAATGGTCTCTTGATAAGCTAATGACAGTGTTGTTTTGGATCTTTTAGCTAATTATTGGAACGTGTTTGTTTGTTTCTTTGTTTTAGAAGCTAGCTGGGAGATTTACTTAACTATTAAATGTTGATAAATTTATTTATATAACTCGCATGTGGTTGTATGAAGTTATAGCTGATCATCATCCAAATTAAACTTTGACAAGTTACTGAAATTGTTTATTTTCTTCAAATGTTATTAAAAAGGATGAATTTACGTAAGAAAAAATACGAACCTTGTTGCTCGCTCCATACTTGTCTGATATTTATTTTTTTGGCTATTAGAAAGTAAGTGTCACGTACGGTACGGGACTTCCTAGCCAGGTCAAGCCGAATTTACATCTTACTTTATCCTAAACTAGTATAGAGTACCGTTATTGTATCTACAAAATTGAATTTATTTATAATATATAGTATTATGTACTCTAACAAATACATGTATACATTATAGTGTCGGGCTTTTAAAGGAGCGCAAAGAGCATCTAAAAAGCTTACAAGGGCACTGGCCAGTGGCCATTGAGTGGAGGGGAGAAAGAGTGCAACACATTTACAAACAAAAATAAAGTATAGTTCAAAAATCATTTGTCTTGGTAAGGTTTTTAAAGTAGTTCGTTTTTGCTTATGGGAACTCCAATGTGTTTACCTACTTGTTATCACAATGTGTTATTGTGCCCAGACATACATGCATAAACCTTTTGCTACTTTTGGTTGCCTGTTTTTCCTATATTTACATTAATTTTGTTCTCCTTGTATAATAATGCTACTAGATTGCTTAGCTATAACGTTTTCGCATTTCAAGAATAACAACGACTTTAAAATGATACTACTATAGTATCTGCCAATCTGATATTTTGACTCTGCCGTTTAATTTTTTTTTTTTTTAACTGTGCCGTTTAGTTGTTTTGCAGTTACAATTCTTTCACTATCATAGTTCCAGATTTCCAGTAATGGTCAATAAATCATAAAACCAATCACAGTTAAGGAAGTGGTTACGAGCACGGACGACGCCTGAGACGATAGATGTTCACCATATTCTTCTCTCTTTAGGTTTATAAATAATGCCCACTTGGTAAGACAACAAAGATAGAAAAAATTTAGAAGTTCTATATCTTGCCTTTTTTTTTTTTGTGATCTCAATGGTGAAATATCTTAACGTGACTTTTGTCTAAAGAAGCTTATGCTTAAACAGTTGACATTGTATGAGAAATACGTGAATAACGTGATTGGTTAAGTGACTTTACGATGCGAACATATAGATGATGTAGCTGTAACGACGGAAACAAAATCTACCTTCACAGCCACATGGTTGAGAATTCAGCTTTATATGTCGGATGGCTTGACCAATGACAAAAATGGTTAATTAACAACGGTTTTTGTCAAATTTTTATCACATTATTAGATTTCAGCTACTGATTGGTTGCACTTTCTAATCACATATATATGCAGTACGAATAACTTATAGTAGTAAATGTAACATTTAATATTGTAAGTTGTAACCAAGATAATTCACACATTGACCCACCTAGCCACAAAAGTCTACGTGTATATTTATGTGCACGGAGACAGAAATGAATTGTACGTGCATCGGTGCATATCTACAGTCTGATTAACAAATTAAACCTATAGTATATTGAAATTACTGTTCATCTGTTCTCAACTATACCTTTGTGTCTATATGTTTCTCTTTTGGATGCTATTTATTTGTAATAAATAGTCCCTCTCCCTCGATGGTGAACTTTCACCGACCGTTTTCCCAAATAGATGACAAAATTTTGACTTCGGCTTTTCGACAAAACATCATCATAGTGTGTTCCCTCGATCGATGTTATTTATGTATATATCGAGTAGCGCAAACTACGAATTAATGGTTCAAAACACACACAATAAAATAACTTAGCTGCTTCATCTGAAGAGTTGTACAATCAGAATATAAAGATGATTAATTTTCCCTTTTCTCTCTTGCAGATGACGCTAAAAACGAAGTTTTTTCCCCATGTGTATGTTTGGCAATGATTTAGTCACATGGCAAACACATAATACATAAAAATATTTTCCGTGTCGGGTTTGAAACCGGATTTCATCAATTGAAATAGGCCTGTGTGCTACAACGGATTTGATAACTAAGTATCCAACAATCATTTAATTAATTAGACTCAAATCGGGCCTTGGAGGACTTTGCACCCTATTGCAAACATATGGACTAAACCAATGGGCCTTAAACGTGAATAAAGAGCCGTTCTTATAAAGCTCAAATGCGGTACTTCAAGAAACCATCTGGTTTACAACTTTACTCTTTCTACTTTTTAATGATGCAAACTGTCATGTTGATAACTATCTTCATGGATTTTAATAGGCATTAGAAGCTGAAGTTTTTAGATCTCAGTATTGTACATGTTAAATTTTTATGTGTATATAATATATTGTTGGACAACGTTAAGAAATTAACCGGTTAAGAAATGTTTCTATCAGAGTATCTCCAATGTATATCTTTATATATATTTTTTTTTTAAATAGAAATTTCTATTATCGAAGTGAATTTTTTCTAATGTATGATTCTATAATAGAATTTATCTATTTTAGAATATATTATTTTAGGTTTTTATGTTTAAAAATGAAAATAGCATATATCTACATTTTCTCTATTATAGAAGCATATATTGGCATAAATCTATTTCTACTATAAAAAATTTATATTTCAAAAGAAAATATATAAATGAAAACAGAGATGGTTGGAGAAGGTCTCAGATCCAAATACCAAATTCACTTGTTTTGAATTTTGGTCTGAAAATATAGTAATATACCATCTAGAAGTTCAATACTCCATCCTAGTAAGTAGAAGAGAAGTTTATGTGGTCTGTAACATGATTATTGAACAAGCATTTTCTTATTGTACGCTACAAGGATATAAAATAGCCAATAAACAGAAATGGATGTTGTTCAAAATAACATAAAAACAGAGTTGGATCCATGAATCTGATCGACTTTGACAAATACATGAATATTGATCAGTGCAGCTCATAACATTTTCTTTTCTTTGCCAAATTTTATTAACCATGAATCTGATCGACTTTGACAGAAACGTGTTCAAATCCCGTTTTTCATGTTTTCAACACGAGACGGCTAAAATTGTTGAACATTCTGAGATGGGCTACCTAGTCAACAAAAGTATATATGCAAGAAAAAACCCTAAACCGATGTAGTTTGGTCGAATAGTTCTGTCTGCTTACTGGAGAAACAGCTGGCTCTTGGACGAGTCCGCATTTTAGACCTAAAAATAATATGTACATAGACTTTATCACACGCATACAAATACAATCAGTATACTGTATATATAAAATTTTGGTTTTAATTAATTAGTATCCATAAACATAACGAGCCTTATCAAACAACCAAGAGCCTACATCTAATAGACAAAGACACATCCTCGTCATCAATTTTTAAAAATAAAAATTGTTGCATCTAATATACAAAGACACATCCTCGTCATCATTTTTAAAAATAAAATTGTCACCAACAATTTTTATTTTAATACAAAGTTCACAATTTTATTTGAACACATATGAACTTTGATATAGTACAGAAAATAACATTGTAGGTCTGAAATCTTGTAAACTCTCGCAAATGATCTGCATTTTTGGAATACATATAATCAGGTATGGAGTATGTTGTAGTGTACTTCGTACAAATGGTAACTTATAAAATAATATAATACAATAATATATAAACCAAAAGAATTTTCCTAGACTAGTTTTCAAAGGTATGCGTGGAGAATCAAAATGAATCTTTTTAACTGCCACAACGGTAAGTTCGTTTTGCTTGTTGCTTACTTTCTCAAGCTAGTACTTCATGCCTCCATTCATTAGAACTATCATGAGGAATTGAATTATTGGCCGACAGAATAAGCAATGTGGTTTCCCTTAATATCAATTTAAGGATCTGAAGTTATTGGATTAAACTAAAACGCGCATTAACTTGTTTCATTCATAATGATAGTGAAGAATATAAGCAAAGTGTGTTCCGTGCATTTATGGATAGCTCCCATGTTTCTGACTTCGTATAAACAGCTCTTATCCGTAAAATATCGTTGTTGTTAAATTGCCAACACGATCATAGTATATGTAAGGCATTATTAGGTATTGAATATTGTGGGCCATCGTATTCATATATTATACTGTACAGATCTATGAAGTAACATAAACATTCCTATCAATGATTGTCAATGTTGATTCAATTCGCTTTCAATTCAAAACGAATAACAGATCAGTAACTAGATTAGTCTGTTAAAAATCCTAATGCAATAAAACATATACAGTGATGTCTATATATACGCACGCAAATAAACAAACTAACTACTAATCTCCACAACTATCACATGCTATTAGTGGAAACACAATACCATTAATTTAGCAGAAACGGTAATGCTATATATCTTGTCTTAAGCCGCAACGTCCATTTATATGGTTAAATGGTT